CTTGATATTCAAATGAATTGGTTAGTTTGGTTCATATTAAAACCGCATTCAAAAGATTATACAACTAAAATAAATTTACTACGCCCTGTTATTCGATAGATTTAGTCATTTAATTTATTTGATGAAGATTTATCACCCTTACTTAGGGATGTTTAATTAAAGTAGACGACTCTTTTTTTGTTTTTTTTTTAACCAAGAGAATTTGAACCATTACTCGCTACTCATACCTTATTAAACCTTCAGTACCGTTTGAGCTATAGGCTCATGTAACTTAATTAATGCCAACTTTTATATCCAAACTAATTGATGTAAAATAAAATTGTTTTTTTAATATTTAAACCACAGTGAAAAATAAAGTTTCACGATTTGCTATTTTTTAAAATTTGCAATTTAATATGAGATGGATTACTTTTGGCCAAAAAAAGAAGAGATGGATTACTGAACATTTTCCATTTGAAATAATAAGTCTCCTGTTACTCCGTTCTCTTTTAATTTAGAGGTGTCTTTTAAGATTTTTTTTTTTACGAGAATTGAGAAAGATAATAATTTACCGGATGGGTCCTATTGTCCAATGGTATAATAAAGCAACAGATAAAGTGAAACCAAAAAAAAAAAAAAGAAGCTAAAATGTACGAAAAATAAAATATGCGGAATGGAGAATGGAAGGAGATGACATATTTATTTGAACTGAAATAACTTAATTGACGTCATGTGGATGCTGAGATAGTTTTACAATTCTAATTCAAGAAATGTAGTTCTCTTGCTTGAAAAGAAATTGCAAAACGTTTTATATACATTAAGAGTTTTCAAAAGGAAAAAGGGCTGAGAGATTTGATCATTTGAGGGTAGACCAGTGCATCACAGAGGGAGCCAGCCTGATAATCTGCGTCACCACAGAAGAAAATAACGACCACATCTAGATGCTTTATCAGATATAAATATTTATTCTAATTTTAAATATAGGACATACTTATTGGATACCGTTATAAATATAGAATCTTAATATAGTACTTCGTCTTCTTTATTTAATATATTTTCCAAATTTCTCTCGCTAATTTCACAGTTTTGTCCACTTTATTTGTTTTCATATTTAAACCTTCATTAAAAAGAGGCATTTAAAAAAGTGACAAGAAAATACTTATACCCAATATTTTATATTTATTATGTTACGTTCTCCGATTTCACATGAATTCTGATTAGATAACTTAATATAAGAACATGACATAATTTAAGCAATTTTCAAGCCCAAATATTTGAGAAGAAAAAACAAACAGCGGGAGGATACCGTTACGTTGTCCCAGATAAATATGGATGACGTTTTTGAATTAACGAGGAGCACAAGTGTCGATGTCTCTCATTTTCATAATCTCTCAAATTCTCAAGTAATCGGAATTCAACCATCTAATAATGTTCTGTCTTCTGGTCAATACCACAGCTTCGGCAGCTTCGTATTCACCACCGTACCGCAATGGTTGCCCGAGAAATTATTTTATTTTATAGGATATGTCTAAATATAAATACACAGGTTAATATAATCTTAGATTACTGCCCTCATATACTTCTCAGATCCTATTTATAAGCTTTAAATTTAAAAATGAATGTGATTCATTTTATGAGCTTCACTTTGAATTTGTTTTAATATTTAATGTATTTTTCTTACGTTATCCTTAATTATTTATCTTTTATCACATTTTCTTACGCATTCTTTTTTATCTTTTTTTTCATTTATGATAAGAGCATATTCGAAAACAAAAATATATTGTTAACCTATTTATCGTTTTCAACTAACTTTAACTAATTATTTGTTATTTGTAAATTACTTATTTAAAATTTATAATAAAGAGTAGAAGGAGTGAAGGACTATATGGCTGTAAGAGTAATTAATCCAGAAGCTTGTTCGGAAAATTATTACATACATATATGTGGACATACATGCTGGCACCAAAAAAGAAAAAAGTGCCTTTTTTTAATTTATAATATACTTTTATCAATTCGTTATTCTTCTCACATTGTCATTGTATATCATCCCCAAAAAAACAAAAAATCTGGTAGGAACAACAACCTTTGTCCTGTTTATAGTCTGCAAATGAATTAACAAGGTTTGTGACGAATTAATTTTGTTTGTTTGTGGTGCTTCACTTGGACTTTAAGGTTTTATTAATCTTGTTCTAACGGTGACTAATAGTACATGTGCAGCACATTTGTTTTAAAAAAATAATTCGCGATAATAAAAAATTTTGGGTATTCTAATTGGCATAGACATAATGATCTAATATTTTTAGGGAAAAAAAAATTAAGTCAAGATATTTTCATTGTAATGAAGGACTTATGCATCATTTTCATTGGGATGTTCCCGCTTGACTGTGGGATATAAGCCGCGGAGAAAAATAATGACTCTTCAGAAGCACTCATTGAGAAATTAAAGATGAATTAAGCTAGAGATCGCTATTCTTGGAATTCCTCTATATCTTCAGGACGTTCTGCTTATTTAAAATATACAGACTTTTGAATATTAAGCAAACAAAATCAAAATCAAAATAAAAAGTTAACCAACTTTACAAAAATTAATAATGTCCTTGATTCTGAAAAATAAAAGGCAGTGTTAGTGTATATGTATATTGCAGGATTTTGAGAGCAAGCAATGTGTGTGTGTGTGTGTGTGTCCGTGTGTATATACATCCAATAAAACTTAAAACAAACCGCAATCATTATATGATATGAATAGCACAATTTGTTCATCAAATTTTTTGTCCAACTATTCATCAACTTCATGCAATATGCTGCACAAAAAAAGAAGGTACTTAGTTGGACTTCCAAAAGACAATAATAATGACTTAAGGCACAAAGTTTTGTATGTAACAAACACATGGATAATTTCATAGGTTAAGTTGATTTCTTTTCATCCATTGACGGCAATTTTATATAGTGGTGAAGGAAACAGGGACTAGTAGAGCCTTGAATCCATTAGTTTTCAATTTTTTTCTTTTGTCTTTTTTTTTTCTTGGTATATACTCTTCCGGTCCTTAATATAGAACCCGATTGTTGAGTTAGTTTTGGTCCCAAATATAATATTCATTTATCATATTTATTAATTTTCTCTAAATTACCCCTATGAATACTCCCTCAACCATAATCAAGTAGAAGAGGGAGGTGGAGTATTAAGAAAGATGATTATAGTATTTTAGGAAAAATGTGTTACTTTTCTTATAATTAACTAACTTACCTAACTTTATTAATCTAATCAAATTAGTTAAATAGGTCTTATATCAAAAAACGGAGGAGCAGTAGATAGTAAATATCGTCTTTGATCCCCAGATTTTTATGCAAAACATTATATATATATAATTCTCAATCTCAATCTCTTTCAAATAATAGAATTGTAGCTACACCCACCACCAATAAATAGGTTTGTGAAGTTCATAAATATTTGGCCTATAATCTATAGATTGTAAGTTCAAGTTGTGATATGATCCATAAATATTTTTATAAAAGCTTTTTGAGCCACAGGCAAATTTTGATCTTAGTAAATATTTAGGATTCAACTTATCTAAACTATTTTTGTTTGAACAAACAGAGAAATTCTGGATCCCCCCTTGTTTCTTTATATCAAGTAAAAAAAAATGATGGCCAAGTCAAATTCATGAGGTCATTAACAAAATATATCTTCCAAAGGTTGCTTGAAGACAAAGTTTCTTGTCTAGAAGATCTCACGATGTGTTTCATTTTTTTTTTTGGACTGAATCACGATGTGTTCATATAGATACAGGAACAATGGCAAAAACTATGGTTTTTAAATTCGTGAATATATATTAGTTCAAAACCACAGTCACCATATATATATATATATATGTATGATCACAATTAGTATAGACCCGTCTCTTTGCTTTTGTCTGGTAATCTCTTCATTACCCATAATTGACCTAGTCTTTCTTGACCATTCATCATTTAAATTAAGAGGGGGAAATTGTGAATGATGTATATACCACATACATTTGTTCACATGATTACTATTTCTTCACATTTTCTTAATTACTATTATTATGTTTTTTCTAGATGCTTAGTTGTTAATGAAATTGGTCTGAAGTTAAATTCTGACTTTATTACTTGCCATTAACTTGACCAACATTACAACAATTCGTTAATCCATGAACTAAAAAGATTAAAAATTATCGTCCTTTCATTTTCAGGCTACGCGCTCCCACCAGTTCCCTTGCAATTATAAACTTAATTAATAAATTTAAAAATGGATCAGATGATGAATACATTTAAAAGTCAAAATATGTTTTAATCGTGAGAATGAATTTTTCTCAAAAAAGTCCGTAAATTCAAATTATCTTTAAAAAAAAAAAGTGGTGCTAATGATAGTGCTTTTTCAGACCCCATTTACGTTCTTTACAATTAATATTTAGTAAACACTTTTCAGAAATACACTGAGATTTTCTTTTGGATTTTCTTACAAAAATCTGTATTATTGCTCTGTTAGTTAAGAACTTAAGATTCAAATTTTTTCTCTTCCCAAGGGACATGACTGATACAGTGAATCAAGTACCACTGCTTAAGGCAAATGATGAATCATTTTTTAATTGTGAAGTGGAAAGATATATTATTTTATTTGAATTTTTAATTAAAACGAAAAACGAAATAGGCAAGATGATTTTTCCAAGAAGCCGGAGCCAAGTTGGTGCGGCCGTTCATGTTTGAACGAGTAACTCCAGAGACCCACAACTTGACGGAAATAGCTTTTTATTTTTTTAATTAATTTTTGAATATTATTTTTGTTCTTCACTTTTCATTAAAGCTTCATATTTTGAACCAAGTATTGTGACCATTTGGCCACCTAACCCAGTCCCCCTATTTTGGCGGCCTCTCTGTTCCCATCCTCGCTTGTATATATATAAATGCCATTTCATAAACAAGGGAGTAAACTGAGTTTCCTTCTCCTCCTTTCTTCTTCTTCTTCTTCTTCATTTCCAAGTCTCTCTCAGTGGAAAATAGTACTACAACCACAAGAAAATTCAGAGACAGAGAGACAGAGACAGAGAACAAGTTTCTTTTTAATTTCTGGGGTTGTTAAGCTCTTTTTTCTGTTCTGCTAACCAAGAAAGGGACTGAGTTTGGTATAGGTTAAGATCAAGTAAGTATGCGCAGTCCACTTTGATTTGTCTGTTTGGTTGCATGGAAACCACAAACAACAGAGAACGACTTCTTCTTCACTTCTTCTCCTGCTTAATTGTTTGTTTCATTGACCTCTGAAATATTGTGCAGAAGAAGGAGGTAAGTGACAATGGAGGGTAATAATTTAACGAGGAACATAAGTAAGAGCTTTAGCAGGTCGAGTTGGAGAATGGAAGAGGTGTTTGCGAGTGGCCGGTATTCTCGCCGGAGCACTCGGATCGACGAAGACGAAGAGGCTCTCAAGTGGGCCGCCATAGAGAAACTTCCCACCTACGACAGGCTAAGAACAAGCATCTTCCAAACTTATGGCGACCAAGATCAAGGTGGTGGTCAGGTGACACACAAGGAAGTCGATGTTCGAAAGCTCGACATGAACGAGAGACAACAAATCATCGACAGAATCTTCAGAGTCGCCGAGGAAGACAACGAGAAGTACCTCCGAAAGTTCAGAAACAGAATTGAGAAGTCAGTTCCATGTTCCTCCAAATCTCCCCCTTCTTACATATCATCATATTATTATCAATGTTTCTGGTTTTAACTCAAAATTTGATCTTCCTAACAGTTTTGTTTTTCTGTTGAAAATTGCAGGGTGGGAATCAGACTTCCAACGGTGGAAGTGAGGTTTCAGAATCTGACAGTGGAGGCTGATTCATACGTTGGAAGCAGGGCTCTTCCAACGTTGCCAAATGTCGCAATGAATCTTCTTGAGTCTGCTCTTGGCGTGTGTGGGGTTAGTACAGCTAAGAGGACAAAGCTGACCATTCTTAAAAACGCCTCTGGTATTATTAAACCTTCAAGGTATACTCAATCACGTGCAATCATCAAAGTTCTTGTCTTTCAAATGAAATTAACTCATAAAAAAGGGTCTCAAGGTGTAATCTCCAAGCAAGTTGACATTTTGATGCATGAACTTGCTTTATTTTAAATAACAAGTGATCTTGTTGGTTTGTGTAGGATGGCCCTTTTGTTAGGTCCCCCATCTTCCGGGAAAACGACTCTCTTGTTGGCTTTAGCTGGAAAATTGGACCCGAACTTGAAGGTAGCTAGATCAGATTCCATTGTAAATCCCAAGACGGGGAAAAAAATAATATTTGAAGTACAGAATTAAGTCACAGGAAACAGAGTACTAAGAAATTTTTGGATGAAACAGGTGAAAGGAGAAATTACTTACAATGGCTACAAGCTTAATGAGTTTGTCCCCAGAAAGACATCGGCTTACATTAGTCAAAATGATGTTCATGTTGGAGAAATGACTGTGAAAGAAACCTTGGATTTTTCTGCCAGATGTCAAGGAGTTGGGACTAGATACGGTAATTAAGCTAACAATTTTACCTTAAACAGGAGTTAATATTCAGTCATATATACGAATCAGTGGAGATTAACAAAAATTTTTAATTTCCTTTAGACCTTTTGACTGAGCTTGCTAGAAGAGAAAAAGAAGCTGGCATATTACCTGAGGCTGAACTTGACCTTTTCATGAAGGTATTTTCACAGAATAATTAACACTAAATATCTCAATTATTGTTCAAATCACTCAATTATTTATTTTTTTAAACTTTTCAGGCTACTGCAATGGAAGGAACAGAAAGCAGTCTCATCACTGATTATACTCTTAAGGTAATTTAATTTGAGGGCTTATTTACTTCAACATGCATGATAAAGAATCTGACAATACACCAACCCCATATCTCCAAGACTTTCTTGCCAAATAACTTTACCGTCAAAAATTTCTCCTCACCTACTGTATCTCTCTCTAGTCATTTTCAGTTTTGGCAGCTAAATGGTCCTAGCACAGGAAAAAAAACCAAGAAACATGAATTTATTAGACAACCACTTGTTCTGATTGCATTATTATTATATATATTATTGCCCTTTTAAGTTGCTGATATTTACCAAACTGCACTAGGGCTATTGACTGATGATATTTACATATGAAACAGATATTAGGGTTGGACATATGTAAAGACACCATTGTGGGTGATGAAATGCATCGAGGTGTCTCAGGAGGCCAAAAGAAACGTGTAACGACAGGTTAGGAATTACAGACAATAATCTTGTACTTGGTCATCTTTAATTACTTGGTCTTCTTTTTAAGAATTATTTGGTCATCTTCACTTGCATCATTACCCATGCTCTTGATCAACAACCTTTATTTTATCTGTTCTCTTATCTTATTTTTATTTTAAACTAAAGTTGCCAAAACATACCAAGTCAAAGTGTCTCGAAATATCAAAAATTAAAATAAAATGACCAGAACATGCGGTAGCCGGCCAAACTCTATTTACTTTGGACTTGGTCCTTCACCTTCACGGATTCACCAACCCACTATGACAAAATTCATAGTTTCACATGTTACTTTCTACACTAATTCTATTCAGATATTTTCTCCGACACCTTTTTTTTTAAATTTCATTATTTTTACTATTTTTAAATCAAAATAAACCCAACGCGCATGTTAGTGGTCATTAACAAAACTAGCTAGTGGTTATGTGGACTGTTATGTGAAGTTTGAATAAATGAAATGAACTTTTTTTTTTTTGGTGTACAGGGGAGATGATTGTGGGACCGACAAAGACACTGTTCATGGATGAGATATCGACGGGTCTTGATAGTTCAACGACATATCAAATAGTGAAGTGTTTGCAGCAGATTGTACACCTCACTGAAGCAACCATCTTCATGTCCCTCCTCCAACCTGCTCCTGAGACGTTCGATCTCTTTGATGACATCATTCTCATATCCGAGGGTCAGATTGTCTACCAGGGCCCACGAGAACACATCCTTGAGTTCTTTCAGTCAATGGGATTCCGCTGTCCTGAAAGAAAAGGAACCGCTGATTTCTTACAAGAGGTATATAACTATATATCGTCATTGTTTCACTGCATTGTTCCTCGTAATTTTTCTAGTATTGGAACTAAGTCTTATAAATAACAAGGGAGCTGAACATGGGTTGACTTGTAAAATGTGTTCAGGTGACCTCAAGGAAAGACCAAGAACAATATTGGGCAGACAGAAGCAAGCCGTACAGATATGTGACGGTGCCCGAGTTTGCAAACCGATTCAAGAGTTTCCACGTGGGAATGAGGCTTGAGAATGAGCTCTCAGTCCCATTTGACAGGTCCAGGGGACACAAAGCTGCTCTTGTTTTCAAGAGATACTCAGTGCCCAAAATGGAGCTTTTAAAAGCATGCTTTGACAAGGAATGGTTACTGATCAAGAGGAACTCTTTTGTCTACATATTTAAGACAGTCCAGATTAGTCTTATTGCCATAATTGCTGCTACTGTCTTCTTGAGGACCAAGATGCACCAGAACACTATAGATGATGGGGCACTTTATGTTGGGGCAATTCTGTTCTCCATGATCATGAACATGTTCAATGGTTTTGCTGAGTTATCCCTCACAATTGCGAGGCTTCCTGTGTTTTACAAGCATAGAGACCTTTTGTTCCATCCCGCTTGGACTTACACACTCCCCAATTTCCTTCTTCGTATTCCAATTTCCATATTTGAGTCTGTTGTGTGGATGGTTGTCACCTACTACACAATAGGATTTGCACCTGAAGCTAGCAGGTTGGTTTAGTTCAATGTGTTTCACTTTGAAGAATACGTATATTTGTAATATAGACCAAATGAGAATATTTGCCTTTGATCTCATTTTCAGGTTCTTCAAACAGCTGTTGTTGGTCTTTCTGATTCAGCAAATGGCAGCTGGGATGTTTAGGTTCATTTCTGGAGTTTGCAGGACGATGATTATTGCCAACACTGGAGGATCCCTCATGCTCCTTCTTGTTTTCCTACTCGGAGGTTTCATCCTACCAAAACGTGAGTGAGGGATTTAAAGTTTGAAACATGTCTTCAAAATGATACCTTGTACCTATTAGAGGAATCAATGTCCTAACACAAATGCTTCATGATAACAGGTGACATTCCAAATTGGTGGGTATGGGGCTACTGGGTTTCACCACTGTCTTATTCCTTCAACGGCCTTGCTGTGAATGAAATGCTTGCACCAAGGTGGATGAACAAAAGGGTGAGTAATATAAGCTCCATTTGTTTAGCCTGTCTAAGGTGAATAATTCATCAGAATACTTAAACTTCAAAAGGAACATTCTGTTGAGTTGAACTTTACTTTTAAATGCAGGCTCCAGATGGACGTCAATTGGGTCTAGCTGTGTTGGAGACCTTCGATGTTTTCCCTGAGAAAAAGTGGTATTGGATAGCTGCAGGAGCGCTCGTGGGCTTCACAATTCTTTACAACGTTCTATTTACCTTTGCACTTATGTACCTTAATCGTAAGGACTCATTGATCTCGATCAATCTTCCAAAAGCAGTTTATTACTTGTATCATTTGTCATTTGATCTTAACAAAATCTGTCTTTTATCTTGTTTGATGATCTAGCAATTGGAGGGAAGCAAGCGATTATAACTGAAGAATCAGCAAGTGAAATGGAAGGTTTAGGAGATTCAAGAGACGAACCTAGACTCAGAAGGCCTATGTCAACTAGAGATGGAAACAACACAAGAGAGGTGGCAATGCAGAGAATGGGCAGCAGAACAAACCCTACTCAAATGAGACATGTTAATTCAAACACAGAGTCAGCCAATGGAGTTGCTCCTAAGAAAGGAATGGTTTTACCATTTCAACCACTCGCAATGTCGTTTGATAGTGTCAATTACTTTGTGGACATGCCCCCTGTAAGAACTCCATCCTCTTGTTCTATCTTTGTTTTGCCATTAATACTTTATGGTACCTAAACATAATTGAATTTTGACAGGAAATGAAAGATCAAGGTGTGACAGAAAATAGGTTACAACTTCTTAAGGAAGTAACTGGTGCCTTCAGACCTGGTGTTCTAACTGCACTTATGGGAGTCAGTGGAGCTGGTAAGACAACTTTAATGGATGTTTTAGCAGGAAGAAAGACTGGTGGCTACATTGAAGGCGATATTAGAATTTCTGGATTCCCAAAGAAGCAAGAAACCTTTGCAAGAATTTCAGGATACTGTGAACAAACGGATATTCATTCACCACAAGTTACAATCAAGGAATCTTTGATTTACTCTGCCTTCCTTCGGTTACCTAAAGAAGTCAGCAAAGCAGAAAAGATGGTAAGCTAAAAACGCTATATTTTCTGTTTTTTTATCATAATATTTGGACAAAGGTGAAATTAATTTTTTTAAAATTGTTTGTCATCTCAGCAATTTGTGGATCAAGTAATGGAATTGGTGGAGCTAGATAATCTTAAGGATGCCATAGTAGGACTTCCAGGAGTGACAGGGTTATCAACGGAACAAAGAAAGAGATTGACAATTGCCGTTGAGCTTGTGGCTAATCCTTCAATCATTTTCATGGATGAACCCACTTCAGGTCTAGATGCTAGAGCAGCCGCTATTGTCATGAGGACTGTGAGAAACACTGTTGACACAGGAAGAACAGTTGTCTGCACAATTCACCAACCCAGCATTGACATTTTTGAAGCCTTCGATGAGGTAACCTATGATCTTGTCAACAATGTGTCTTTATGGGATTTTGTCTCATTGTTACTTAATAAATTTCCCTTTCTTCTTTCTTGTAATAGCTTCTATTGATGAAAAGAGGAGGGCAAGTGATTTACGCAGGGCCACTGGGTCGGAATTCTCACAAGATTGTAGAATTCTTTGAGGTACTACAACTACTTGATATTATTTGGTAGATTTTTTTTTTTTTTTAAACAAGCTTCCAACATTTGACTCCATCTTTATTCCACTATAACAGGATATTCCAGGAGTCCCAAAAATTAAGGATAAGTACAACCCAGCGACATGGATGCTTGAAGTGAGCTCCATAGCAGCTGAAGTTCGTCTTGGAATTGACTTTGCTGAACACTACAAATCATCATCTCTGTTCCAGTAAGTCCATAAACAACACCATTGTCTAATGTTGTTAGTGTGCTTTTGTTAGTTGAACTTACACATGTTTCTATGAGCAGGAGAAACAAAGCTCTGGTAAAGGAATTAAGTACACCTCCACCTGGTGCAAAAGATCTGTATTTCCCAACTCAATACTCTCAGTCCACATGGGGACAGTTTAAATCTTGTCTATGGAAGCAGTGGTGGACTTACTGGAGGAGTCCAGATTATAACCTTGTCCGGTTTTTCTTCACCTTAGCTGCTGGTCTAATGGTGGGGACAATATTTTGGAAAATTGGAGAGAAAAGGTTAGGACTTTGAACTATTTTCTATTTTCTACTATGAAGTCCAGTCAAATTAACCTACCATTGTTCAAGGATTCTAGCTAAACTCTCTCTGATTATCTCTTCTACAGAGATAACTCAACAGACCTGACCATGATCATAGGAGCAATGTACTCTTCTGTTCTGTTCATTGGAATAACAATTGCTCAACTGTCCAACCTATTGTGGCCATTGAAAGAACAGTTTTCTATAGAGAAAGGGCTGCTGGAATGTACTCAGCATTGCCTTATGCCATTGCACAGGTTAAAATTTGAACCATTTTTTTTCTGTGGGAATTTATCTATACTCTTATGATGCCGTAGCTTGAAAGTCACTTAATCCCTTTGCCACATAACTTTTGTAGGTTGTCACAGAGATTCCTTATGTCCTCTTTCAAGCTGTGTATTACTCATTGTTGGTGTATGCTATGGTGAGCTTCCAATGGGCAGCGGACAAGTTCTTTTGGTTTTTGTTTGTCTGTTTCTTTTCCTTCCTATATTTCACGTACTATGGGATGATGACTGTGTCCATCACGCCAAACCACCAAGTGGCTGCAATTTTTGCAGCAGCATTTTATGGACTTTTCAACATCTTTTCTGGCTTCTTCATCCCCAGACCCGTAAGTATTATATACCCATTCTAGTTGCAATTTGGTTTTGAAAATGCGAGTTGTTCTTGCAGATTTATCATCTTCAACACTAACACAACATTTCTATGTGGAATTCATTTCAGAAAATTCCAAAGTGGTGGGTCTGGTATTACTGGATTTGCCCAGTTGCCTGGACAGTATATGGATTGATTGTCTCACAATATAGAGATGTAATCACGGCGATTTCTGCACCTGGGTATGGAGACAATGGTGCTCCAGGTCCAGTCGCCATCAACCAGTACATTCAAGACCATTTCGGCTATAAAACAGACTTCATGGGGCCAGTTGCAGGAGTTTTGATTGCTTTCACTGTGTTCTTTGCCTTCATGTTTGCCTACTGCATTAAGACACTAAACTTCCAGATGAGATAAGTCTATATAGAGCCATTGGTGAGGAACTTCTGTTCTGCTCCACAAAATATCTCCTGCAAGCCTTAAATGACTTTTGTATGTATATAATTACAGATAGCAAAACAGTAGATGATGGCGATAATTTCATCTCTGCAAGTTTTGAGGTCTGCTTAATCAGTAATTGTAAAGTAAATTATCATGTTTTGGTCACATCATTGTTGAATCCTTTGTCCCATAGGAGGAATTTAGTTTATACATATATATGAGGTCAAATTCTTGTAACAATAGTACTTGTTTCGAAATGATATTGAATTACTTACGCCTTCCCAATCTTCCTTTCAGTATTCGTCAACTTGAAACAATGTTTATGGTTCAGTGATTAAAGTTAAACAGCAGTTTAATGGGGATAAAACAAGCGATTCATGGATTCAATCTCTCTCTCTCTTTTTTTTTTGGGCTTTACAATCTTGTTTGTGTGCTCTTTGGGGTTTCAGTATCTTTCAGAATGGCCTCTCACATTTGAAACAGTACATATACGACGTGAATAGAAGTAATTTAAGGGCGAATGGCTCTTACAAGCACATTAGTCAGACTCTTCTTTTCATTATCATGTTCATCTGTAGCGGCCTATAATGAAAGGCTTGGTTAAAATGCATAACTTCTAAGGATTATAACTACTAAAATTTTAGAGACTTGTTATTAAATTTTCAAAAAAGTTACAGATTAAGGGGTGTTTGGTTTACAATAAAAGCATCTTTTCAAAGTGTTTTCACACAAGATGAAACATAACTCTTTTCACATACTTATTTCGTATACTGTAAAATTATTTTTAAAATTATAATTTGGTTTCCACCAAAACATCCTCTAAGTGCTGATTTTGGGTGAAAACAGTTAGTTATACTAACAAGAAAATATAGATGTTAGCATTTAGCGGTGAACTTTTTGGAAATCTAAGTTTATTAGAGCAAATATGGAAATTAAAATGCGAAAGGAAACTTTTTTGGAGTAGCAATTAGCAAATGCAAAAGAAATATCAATAACTAAAAATTACTCCTCTGGTTCTTAATATAAGACCCATTTAACTAATTTGATTAGATTAAAAAAGTTAGGTAAGTTAGTTTATTATAAGGAAAGTGACACATTTTTTCTAAAACACAATAATCATCTTTCTTAATACTCTCTCTCCCTCTTCTATTTGATTATGGCTGAAGGAGTATCCATAAGGGTAATTTAGAGAAAACTGATAAATATGAGAAATAGATCTTAAATTTAAGATCAAAACCAACTCAAAAATTGGGTTCTATATTAAGAACCGGAGGAGTATTAGGATTTAGAATCAGAAATTAGATTAGATTAGCCTGGAAACACTCGTAAACAATGGGTTCTGGGCCAAAAATGTTTTGGGTCGGAACAAGGCAAATTATGATTTTGATAATAATAGTCTGGAAAAGCAGATTTTTATTGATATGGAATATCTTATATTTATGCCGATAAACAAGCTCCTTGGTGGGCGAGTGACATTTTTAGCCTGCCTTGAGCAGAGGAATGACGGGAATACTATGAATCATATGAACTGTCCCACGTGGATGCGTGCATCCGCTATTGGAGTCTTTTTCCCTAGGATGATGCGAGTGTCTGGTTCTCTTTCTTCAATGGTAATAATGATAATTCCACTAATAATAATACTCCTCCGGTCCTTATTATAAGACCCAATTTGACTTTTTATTTGGTCCTAATTATAAGACCCAATCCATTTTGTCTCTTATATTTATGCATTTTTTTCCAAGATAATCCTTCTAATAATGATAGTTTTAGCCAATATACTTAATTAGCAAGGATTTTTAGGAATGACAACACTTATTTATTATAAATAACCAACTTAACTTACTTCCTTAATCTCCTCAAATAAGTCAATTGGGTCTTATAATTAGAACCGGAGGAGTATTACATTTGTGATCATTTATAATTAATACTTTCTTTGGGAACTCCGCAAAAAAAAAAAATAAAGAAAGAAAGGGTATCATTATCTTTTCACCGAAAAAATTTAGTTTCATTTTAGTCCAATAGGTTGCAGTGAAATTTAAGAATTTTTTGGCAGCTATTAGAAATTACTCCTTTGATTCTATTTATAAAACACTTTCAGTATATTGCACAAAGACTAAGAAAAATTTTAAAATTAACACTTCATTAAAACATGACAACTTTTTAACTTTACCTTTCTTTAATATATATACACTTTTTAAAAAAGGATAATTATCTATATTATAATAAGTGAATGACGAAATAGTACATTTATGTTAAAAAGTTAATGAAGTGACTTATAAATAAGACTAAAGATTCTCTTCTCTCACTCTGTCCCATAAATAGGACCAGAGAAGTAAATTGCTACGATGGGGACTATTTGAAATTTTTCTTACAACTTATTTGGGGTAGTATTTGCGCCACTCCAAACTTGGTTTCAGCTCTTTCCCTTGTTTGGAACTTGGATGGAGGAAAAGGTCCAAACAAAAAAAAACAAGAAGAAGAGGTGAAAGAATAGTGAAAAGGGAATATTTAAAAAAAAAAAATCGTAAAAAAATCTACTATTTTGGAATTTTTTCCATCTAATATACTCCTCCGGTCCTTATTATAAGACCCAATTTGACTTTTTATTTGGTCCTAATTATAAGACCCAATCCATTTTCTCTCTTATATTTATGCATTTTTTTCCAAGATAATCCTTCTAATAATGATAGTTTTAGCCAATATACTTAATTAGCAAGGATATTTTAGGAATAACAACACTTATTTATTATAAATAACCAACTTAACTTACTTCCTTAATCTCCTCAAATAAGTCAATTGGGTCTTATAATTAGGACCGGAGGAGTATTTATTTTCTAATTTTTCCCCATCCAAACAAACAAGAGGTCACCCTCGGTTGTGAATGGCAATAATGGAGGTGATGTCATTGATTTATAAGGATGAGAGGTTGGGAGGAAGAGGACGAGGAGCTGAGAGCGCATTGAGTTTGGTGGGGTAACACAAATTATGAGGCGATTTGGAAATACGCGGTGAGAATGAATGAGGACGATGGTCGTGCTTTTTAAGATAATTGATCTCACAAAATGTTACTCCTCCGATCCTTATTATAAGACCCCATTTGACTTTTTATTTGGTCCTAATTATAAGACCCTAATATATTTTGTCTCTTATATTTATGCATTTTTTCCAAGATAATCCTTCTAATAATGATAGTTTTAGTCAATATACTTAATTAACAAGGATATTTTAGGAATGACAACACTTATTTATTATAAATAACCAACTTAACTTACTTCCTTAATCTCCTCAAATAAGTCAATTGGGTCTTATAATTAGGACCGGAGGAGTATAACCATTAGATGTGTTGGACCTGGGATTGGATTGTTCATTCAGGCTTGGCACATGAAAGCTACCTCTTTGTTTTGGATCCACTCATTGTGACTTTTGGATGTTCAATTTCAACTTCCTTTACTTCCTAATTCTCGTCCATGTGCTTGTTATAAACTTAAAATAATTAATTCACAATAATAAATAATTAGTTAAAATTATCTCAAAATAATAAATAGATTAGAAATATACTTTTGTTTCCAAAAATGCCATTATAATAAATGAGAAAAAAAGATAAAAGAGAATATATAGAAAAATATGATAAGAGAAAAATAATTAAAGATAACATAAAAAAATGCATTAAATATTGAGACAAATCCAAATTGAAACTTATAAAATAAACTACACTCATTTTTAAATTTGAAACTTATAAATAGAATTAAGAAATACTTATTGGTTCCAAACCCACCTGCCATCATGGCTCCTCTCTTTCATTTTGTTGTTCAAATGAAAAGTTAGATAACATTACTCAAAACAGCAAAAGATCACAGCTAAACTCCCTCATCATTCTCCACCTAATACACATATGGAGGTTGATCAAGAATACAAAAGTTAATAACAATAATGTCACATGATTAAAACTTAAATGTATAATTTTATTCTTTATTTCTTATTGTACTGACTTTGTTTGTACAGAATATAATGTTTATTAAATATGGATAGTGAGAAAATTATTAAATTTTAAGGCAAGATTAATAAAATTTAATTTAACTTTTTTAACTTATGCGCACATACTAAGAATGGCTCATAGAACAAGACGAGTACATGCACTAGAATGATGACATCTAAAATCATGGTCTGAAAGGCAAAACTATAGTTTGGATAAGATGACATCATAAAAGCCTTAATTTCTTTTGAAACCTTGGTTACAGATGAAACCATGGTTTTGAAGGCTGAAACCATGGTTTGGTAAGAATTGAAAAATCGTTGCTTCTGGGGAGTGAAAGCTGAGTCATTGGAATGATAATGAGGAGTCAGATGGGAGCAACGGTCTATTTTGACCAAAAACACCCAAATTAATAATTTTCAAGGAAAATTAATAATTTTTTGTTCACAACAAAATAATTCACCTTCTCCAAAAATATTTCACTCTTATATTTTATAAATATATATACACATATTAATTATTTATTAATTAAATTATCTTATATATTATTAATTATGTTGGTAAAAATATATTATTAACAATTTTATTCCTTCAAATTAAAATATATTATAAAATTTATCTTTTATGTAATTATCATATTAACTTATATCATTTTAGTAATTTATACATATAAAAATTGCTTCTGTTAAAAATTATTCAAACACTCTCATTTTATCAGAATCACTTTTTCGTAAAATTTATTTTTTATAAAATCTATTTTTCAGAAGTTATTTTCTAAATTATAGTTTGATTTTATGCGAACGCTCATTCAATATCCTTACATCTTTAATGACCCACCGAGGAAAAAATAGTTAGTTGGCTAACGCATATTGGGCCTCACCGGCCACAAACCCGGTGCACAACCGTCAACGCCTTTGGATAAGAACAATCCAACTTTGCGGTCCCTAATTAATACTCTCGCATTTTCTCTGAGATGTTATTACTATAGTATATTTCTCCAATGAGTTTTTTTAATAAACTTATTAGAATTTCACCTTATTTGTAGTCAGGCTTGCGTAGTTTTTTTTTTTTTCACTAGATGCTCATAGTTTCGACTTTCAATTGATTTTTAATCAGCTCCAAAATAAGGATTGCTAACAAAAATAATAGGAATCTGATTTAAAATCTAGTAATAGTATAAGAACTTGACATAAAAATATAAAAACCTGATTAACTAAAAATTGCAAATTAATTTTTCTTAAAATAAGATCCTGTTAAGCATGTCGGCCCAATATCATGATGGCAGCAACCAGCAACTAGCGGCGGACCTTTT